CTTAAGGAGGTGGTGATGATCTGCCTTCTTGAACTGCGGTCCATCTGCGGTAGGTAGTTGCACAATGCCCATAGGGAGGGAATTCCAGGATTTTGACCTTGTACACTTATAAAGCTTGTGGTGATAGAAGTGGAGTGGTGACCCCACACTATAACCTGAAGGTTCTTCTCATCAGGAATTATGGCTCAAGGTAAGAAACTGTCCACAGGAGAGAGAACTTTGTCACAGAAACAACCCAGGCATTTAATCGGTCAATTTAGAGCAGTGAACAAATAAAGAAGAATTACTTGTGTAGAGTTACACTCAGAAGCAAGGAAAAATAAGACATTGAATTAAAATTTTTATGATTATTGAGACACAAGTGTACAAGTTTATAACTCCTTATTGCTCATGCATTATAAGTTGCTTTTGAATTAAATAACTTGGAGTTTCTCTTTTAGCTTTGTTGTGGAAGTGCCAGTATTGGACTGGGGTGGACAAAGTCAGAAGTCACACGACACCAGGTTATAGTCCAACAGGTTTATTCGAAATCATAAGCTTTGAGTTCACCTGACAAAGAGACTAAAAGCTCCAAAAGCTTGAGATTTCAAATAAACCTGATGGACTATAACCTGGTGTTGTGTGACTTCTGACTCTTTTACCTTGTGAAGTGAAAAGGTGCTTGTAATATTGTAATTGTTTCTTAATAGGAGCCTTCTAGCACACCAATAGCAAGGAGGAAGAGCAGCAAACAGAAGCAGTAAACAGTACTGCTGCTCCTTCTTAGGCAGTCCATTGGAATTAAAGATGACTTGTGTCCACTTCATTTCAGTGAGTTCTGAGGTGGCTTCTAAGTTCAATGCATGATCTGCAGACTGTGCCACGTGCTTGGAAGTTCTAGTCAAGGTGCTTGGAGGTTTTTGAGTGCTCTGTGATGCATTGACTTCATCTTCCATTGCACCCAACATAGTGTCTCAAGGCGATCAATTCCATCCTGAATAAAGCACCTCTATTTGGCTTGGTCAAAGGCGAGGGACTCCGATGAGTGGCAGAATGTTTGATCACTTCAGAAAAGCATTAAAGATATCCCTAAAGTATTTCCACTGACCTTCAGGGAGTTTCTAGTCATGATCAAACCCCAAGTAGAACCATTGTTTTGTGAATCTGCTACCAGACATAGGAATGACATTGGCTGCCCAGCAGAGCTGGTTTTGATTGAGTAGTGTATCAGTGTGGGCAAATTGGCTTAGGAGAGAGGACATTGATATTGGACCACAGCTCTTGCCACAGGATTAGGAGGATCCCGCACAGGCATTGTTTATGGCATTTCTCCAATACCTTGATGTGCCTGCTGCACATTGTCCAAACCTCTCAGATATGTGGGAGCACAGCAATTGTCTTTTGCCTGGTAAACCATGACCTTAGGCACAGCTTTAGAATCTTGTATCAGGAAAGTTCTTTTCCTCAGTCAGTTGAAGATTGAGCTGGCATATTGTGATGATGAGTTTCATTGTTTATGTCAGCCTTCATCAAGAGGAACCTCCCAAGATACTTCCAAGAAGATGGTTCACATTTTCCCATTTCTGGAGTGAGAGCAGAAGGGTGGAGTTATGCTCTGAGGAGCAGTCACCCTGTCAGCTCAGGTTTGACAAGGCTTCATGAAAACCAGAGGGAATGTGGGAAAAAATAAGGGAATTTCAAATTCTCCATTCAAAATCCGTTGAAGTACATTGGTCCAAAAGGGAAAATTCAAGAGCTATAGTGTTGTGCAAAGTTTTTATCAATTAACTTACTTCTAAGTGACCATTTTTGCAATACTTCAGGCACGTAGATTACATAACTTTCTTAAAGACAGGCACTCTGTGGGGAAATTCTTGCTGACAATTTTCGCACATAAGCTTCGAATCCTGTTGTAGATTCATTGCAATCTTTATGTGAAAATTAAAAGGTTATTTCCTCCTTGTCACTCTTCAGAAAGACAGATTTTTTGCCTCAGCCTAATTCAACAGAAGGTTGGAATAAGGGAGGTGATGGCTTAGTGGTATTATCACTGGACTGTTAATCCAGAGACCCAGATAATGTTCTGGGGACCTGGGTTTGAATCCTGCCATGGCAGATGGTGGAATTTGAATTCAATAAATATCTGGAATTAACAATCTAATGATGACCGTGAATCCATTGTTGATTGTTCGGAAAAACCCATCTGGTTCACTAATGTCCTTTACGGAAGGAAACTGAAATCCTTACCTGGTCTGGCCTACATGTGACTCCAGACCCACAGCAATATGGTTGACTCTTAACTGCCCTCTGGGCAATTAGGGATGGGCTTAGCAATGTCCTCATCCTGTGAATAAATAAAGGAAAAAAATGTGGAGCACACAGATTATAAACATAATTTCACATTTAGGGAAGCTACCTAGCCCACTTCGTACTTTTTTCATTATTCTTTCATGGGATGAAGATGTTTTGCTGGTTAGGCCAACATTTATTGCCCATCCCTGAAGGAGAGGGTGATGAGCCACCTTTTGGAATCTTTGCAGTTCTTGGCGTGTAGGTACACATACACATTGTCATTGAGGAAGCAGGCTTCTAAACTTTTTTCATGACTTAGTCCTCTGATCTTAAGGCTGAACCTCATGACTCATCTCTGCACTGGGTTTATTCCGAGGTATTGGCACTCATATTGTCTGAGTGCCCAAAACTCAATACAATTCTCAAAGTATAGTTACAATGATGCGTGATATGCCTTCTGTAAAAATTGAGAAAAATTGCACTCTAAGTATAGCAGTTTGGTCTTATTCTGCATTTGAATGAAGGAACAATTTCAAAACACATTAAAATGGCCTCGTTTAATTGACAAAACAGATGTTACAACAATTGGATGATTTTTAAAGAAACCTGTTGCACGAACAGCAACCATTTCATTGCCCCAAAGACTTTAGTCACACAGACAAATAGCAATAATGTTAATTGGCTTATTTTGCTTCTGAGTTGTTTTGGTGTCTGCTTAGCCAGTCTTTCAACGCAAGTGCCATCTCTAAAGTAGATGATTTGATATTGGAGGCAGATTAAAAAACTCAGAGAAAATTTTTAAATGTAGCTTTATATTATGCAAGATCCCCGTGCTTGGGTTGCTCATCTTGGTCATGTTCTGGCAATTTTGCATTTGACTTACACCCAGCTGCAAACTTTGACAACTAGGCAGTGTGAAACCTGAAAACGCCCCCATTGTTGAGAAGCAGGAGTGTACTGGTAATGACAGTAAATGAGTAATCCAGAACTCCAGACATATTGTGAATATGGATTTGAATCCCAGTATGGCAGTTGGTTAAAATATGAATTTAATCATAATAATCTGGAATAGAAAGCTTGCCTAATGGCAACTAGGTAACCACTAGGTAACCAATTGTTGTAAAAACCCATCTAGTTCACCAATATCCTTCAGGGAAGGAAATCTGCCACCCTTACCCGGTCTGGTCTGCATGTTACTCTAGATCGACAGTAATGTGGTTGACTCTGGGGGATGAGTAGTAAATGCTGGCCTGGCCTGTGAGGCTGACGTGCCTTCATTTAAAAACAAGCCATATCCTTTTATGTAACACAATGTTGAATGCTTTTTTGGAAATCCAACTATATTAGCATCAACTGGTACCCTATATACACTCTGCTTTTTATGTCCTTAAGGAACCCAAGTTAATTTGTCAAATGCAATTTTCCTTTCACAATGTGATGTTGATTCTGCTTGATTGTACGATGACTCCCTATATATTGTAACAATACTATGGCTTTAAGAGGTGTATTTTGTCCACATTGCTTTTGAAGAGAGGTTTTAAGATAGAGGTGTCGATTTGTCTATTGAAATCCCATAAAGTAAACAGCTTGGGAGGACTTGTCTTTTTTTAAGTCGGAAGAATAGAGGCAGTATGAATGGTCGGGGTCAGGCTCCCACAGAACCAGGATTTTTAGTTTTAGCTTTTCAGTAGCAGTTGCTGGGGTCTTGGAGCTGGGTTTGGGAGCTGTAGTACATCTCTCCCTGCTACTGTCTCTCTCTCAGAGTTTTCTTTTGATGTTCTTTTTTCCTCCTGGATTGGAGAATTGTCTGTGAGACAATCTATTTTACTGAACTTTCCTTTACCAAGAGCGTGTTTATGGATTGTTGCTATTATTGGAACAGTTACTGTTTAGTAGTAAAATAATCTATTATTCTGTTAAGTTTTCCAATAGAGTTAAATTATTCTAATTTCTTCTTTCTTTTGTTTTATTTTAACTAAAGTTTATGAATAAAGTGTATTTTGCTTCAAATCTGGTAATGTGATCAATTGAATTGCATCCAGAATGGAGCACCTGGCGCTTGCGATTAAAAATAATAAAATGTTAGGGTCTAGGCTATCTTTTGAATATATTTTGAGGGTGTCTGGTCTGGTCCATAACAATATCTTGCTAAAATACTCTGAATAATGTGCTGTAACATTTTACCAACGACAAAAGATAGGTGAACTGTTTTCTGTCTCCCTCCTTTCTTGAATAGATGTTTTACATTTGCTTTTCCATTCTGTTAGGGCATCCCCAGAATCCAGGGAATTGTGGAAGATTATAATCAATGCATCTACTATCTCTGTAGTGACTTGGTTTAAGACCTTAGGTTGAAAACTATTCCAGGAAACCTGTCAGCTATCGGACCCATTTGCTGGGATGGATGGTGGGGAGTGTTGATGGGTGGATGGAATTGGACTGACTTGTTTTTAATTATTGATCAACCCAACACCTTCAAGATGTTGGAGGTCTTTACCTGAAGGTCTGGAGCCTGATGGCCAACCCCAACTTGTGGTCAGGTGCTAGATGAATACATACACACAGTCTTGTCCCCGCCTGTCCTATTCAAATAATTGATCCTCCCACTGACTGCACAAACACAGAAGGCAAAAACAGGCACAATCTTAGCAAAACCAGTTGGATCAAATGCTGCAGATTTGTAGAGGCAGTTTCTTAAGTGCAGATACCTATTGCCCATTTTTTTTTAGGATCCTTGTTTCTGATCTTCAGGGATTAATAGAAATGCAAGGTGTCTCCAGGACTCGTGTGCGCCGGTCAACCCCTCTCTACAGCTATGAAGTCTACCATTCTTTAGAAGAGGTATGTAGATAAAACCTCAAGACTTGTAACTGCATTGCTGTTTGCCCTTTATATGATCACTTCTGCCAGTAAACCATGAACCAAACCTTGGGTTTGAGATTCAAGTCTTCAAAAATTCTTTTGCTTGGTCAGTTGAAGACTGAACTGATACATAGCGGCAATGATGAATTTTAAATACTGACATGACACAATTGATTAAGATTGATATTTAAATGTACATTTAATAGCTTCAGAAGAAACAAAACGTAGCTATGAGCACTTTATAAAAGCATGATGGGATATGTAGCCAATTCTATGGGAACTTAGCCAAGAATGGAAGTTGGTAGAACTTCACAAAGCTGAACAACACACTTGAAGTGATAAGAAAACAGACAGGAGGGAGATATACAGTCACAGTGATAACATCACTTCACAGAACACAAAAGTGTGGTATAGCCCAGTTTATTGATAAGGGAATATTTTGTAGATGGCAGGATAGTCATTGACAAGGGAATGTAAAAACTTTGTAAAACATTATAAATTATTATGCTGACTGTGTTTCCAGGAGACAACTTGATGGACTTTGTGCAAAATATGTCTCCGACATATGTTTGAATATAGTCTGTAATAATTGTGCCCAAGACACAAGGTAATTTTTAAACTACCACAACAGTCATCGATGTCTGATCAAGATGAGATTCCCAAGGTATGGAAAATGGCCCACCTTTTCCAGGATCTTGATGTTAATCGATGTGGGATTTTGCTGTGGGAATTGGTTGGAAGAGGACTTTCATTTCCAGGTGTTTATTGAAAGACCAATTTTCTCAAATTCCTCTGTTCGAGTTGACTGTGGCCTGGGGTTCAGTTTCTGAATCAACACACACACCAGCATCATCTGTATAGTGGAGCTCAGTAATTGATATTTGAGTGATCCTGGTTTTGGATTGATGGTGATGTGAGTGGAGCAGTTTGCTGACAATTTGATGATTCTGTAAATTGTGAGATGCAGAAACTCAATGAGATTGTACAATGTTCAGCACCTTTTGAAGCAGTCGGAGTCTATATGCAGCAAGATCAGTGCAACATTCTGGTTTGGGACAATAAGTGGCAAGTAACATTCATGCTATACAAATGCAATGTGAAGACACCTCCAATAAGTAACAATATAACCACCACCCCTTAGCATTCAAGAGCATTATGATTGTTCAGACACCATTATCTACGCTTGAAAGTTACCAATGACCTGAAACTAAACTGAACTGGCTATATGAATACAGTGGTTACAGGAACATTTCAGGGGCTAGGGATTAAGCAGTAAGTAACTCAACATCTGACTCCTCAAAGCCTTGCCACCATCTACAGAGAATGAGTCAGGAGTGTGATGGAATACTCCCCATTTTCCCAATGAGCGCAGCTCCAACAACACTCAAGGCTTAATACCATCCAGGAGAAAGTACCATACCCACCACCTTCAACATTTACTCTTTCCACTAGCAACACACTGTGACAACAATGTTTCATATCTACAAGAAGGACTGCAGCAACTCACAAAAGCTTTTTCAACAACACTTTCTAAACCTGTAACCGTGACTATCTAGAAGGACAAAGGCATCAGATACATGGAAACACTGACAAATACCTCTCTTAAGCCACTCGTCATCCTGACTTGGAAATATATCATTGTTCCGCTATTGTTACTGAATCAAAATCCAGCACTGTGAGTATAGCCACTCCATACTGAGGGCAGCTGTTTAGGAAGGTGGCTCGCCACTACCTTTTCAAGGGCAATTATGGATTGGCAATATATGCTGGCACAGCTGGTTACAGCCATTCCTTAGAAAGAACCATTTTCTCAGCAGTTTTTGTCAGTGGCTGTTTGTCAGAACCTTCTGTTCTCAGGGACATGGTGAGAACTCAGGTCCCAAATCTATGTCACCCAGAACAGGAACACTGCTGGCATTATTGTGAACCAGCAAGTCAACTGACCCCTCTCCAGGTTGGAATATCCCACTGATGTTTGCAGCAACTAGGTTAGGAATCAGAAGGTATCAACGAACAGTGGACCTCCATCTCTGCAATGCATCCAGGAGAGGAAGAAAGATGGATGCTCATCCATCTTTATATATACAAATTAGCACTATTGTTGCAGACTTTTTGAGTTCTTTGATCAATCTATGACCACTCTGTACTCATACACTGAATATGTAATTTCAACAGCTGAGGCCACTACATGCTTCCACTGGGCCAGGATTAAGTTTGCAGTCCGAATGTATTTGAACATTTGGTTTCTGACTAGAACATGTCATGGAACAGGAATTGATCATTCTGTTAGACCGTGACCAATCTGTATCTCAACTCTATTGATAGTTTTTCCCTGTGTTTCTTGTTGCTGTACCGAGCACAACTCATCAATTGCAATATTGAAAATTTCAGCTGACCTTAACGTTTTGCAGCTGAAGAGTTTGAGGTTTCTGCTAGATTGTCATGTATTCTCATCTGCCTAAAAGTATCAATGGGTTAAATTGAAAACAGGCAGCTTTGAAATTCTAATGTAAGTCTCTCTCCTGAAGAAAGCTTTCATGCCACAATGTGGATTTTCAGTTGTGGGTGAGATCATATTATGCAGTGTCTGACAACAATTTGTCATTTGACATTGTGTAAAGAATGGAACATTGTGTCGTCTTTTGTCTTACAAATACATGTTTAACATTCAATTTGGCCTATTTATAGTTGCTAATTGTCAAATATTTGAGAATAATGCATCAGATTTAAGACTGACTTTTGAACCTCAGCTTGTAAATGTGTTCTGCACACAGTGGCTCAGTGGTTTTGATTCCTGCCTTGAGTGACTGGTCTGTGTGGAGTTTGCACATTCTTCCCATATCTGCGTGGGTTTCCTCCGAGTGCTCTGGTTTCCTCCCACAGTCCAAAGATGTGCAGGTTAGGTGGATTGGCCATACTAAATTGTCTATTGTATCCAGAGATGTGTAGGTTAGGTGGGTTAGCCATGGGAAATGCAAGGTAAGAGAGTGGGTGTGTCTGGATGATGCTCTTCACAGCTTCTACACTGTGGGGATTCTATGATATTCAATGCATATTATGAAACTACACTGTTTGAATCTACAGATGGGGAACTACACGGCAGGATCAAGTGTCTGTTTAAAGAATTTTTCATATCCTCCCCTTCTTAAACATTGTTGTATAAAATCTAACGGATTATTTTGAGATCTATATTTTAAACTTTTTTTTTTCAGATTCAAAACTGGATGCACCAGATGAATCAATCACATTCTCAGCTCCTTTATCTTTTCTCCATCGGAAAATCCTTTGAAGGACGACCTCTCCTAGTTCTTCAGGTAGCTTACACAGCTTGTTGAACATCGCAATACCTGAGTCATCGGTCAAATATTTTTGAGTGTTCACTCTAATTTTTATTTCAGCTTGGCAAGAGATCAAAACATTTAAAGAAAGCTGTATGGATGGACTGTGGCATTCACGCAAGAGAGTGGATTGGTCCAGCATTTTGTCAATGGTTTGTCAAGGAAGTAAGTATTCAAACATAACCATTTGGCTACATTTTCTCTTTGCAATGTTGAGTTGATTTGGAATATTTAGTTTTATTTAATGAGTCGATGGAGCGGCAAGACTGTTATTATTGCAACAACAACTTTTGGTATAATCATCCATGAAGTAACTGCACAGGGAGAAACAAACTTACTTGATATTTTTATTTTGCACTCATGAGATGTGAACTTCACTGTCTGGGCCAGCATTTATTCCCCATCCCTAATTGCCCAGAGGGCAGTTAAGAGTCAACCACAATGCTATGGGTCTGGAGTCACATATAGGCCAGGCTGGGTAAGGATGGCAGTTTTATTCCCTAAACGGAATGAGTGAACCAGATGGGTTTTTCCAACAATCAACAATGGTCATCATTAGATTCTTAAATGCAGATTTTTATTGAATTCAGATTCCACCACCTGCCGTGGCAGGATTTGAATCTGAGTGCCCAGATCATTACCTGGGTCTCTGAATTAATGACCTAATAATAAAGCCACTTGGCCATCACCTCCCCAATTTTATGACAAGAACCTTTTCTTCCTGCTGCAGCATGGTCTTGTTTTGGAAGAAGATAGAAAAGATTAAAGTTAACAGCGAAATGGACTGGAGAAACTTAAGGAAGTAAGGTCTGACCAATCTCCAGGCTCTCGTATCCTATACCCTAGGACTCTAAAAGGGATAACTACAGAAATAGAGTTGATGCTTTGGCTATGATTTTCCAAAGTTCTGTGGATACCAGAATGGTTCCAGCATGTTGGAAGTTGGTAAATGTGACAGTGTTATTCAAAAGGTAGGGGAGTGAAAATTGGTAACTACAGTTAGCTTGGCACCAGTTATCAGGCAAGCACTGGAGTCTAATATTCAGGAAATATTAGCAATGCACTTATGAAATCACAGTATGATCAGGTAAAGTTAACATATTTATACAATATGAAAATTGTGTTTGACAAATTTATTAGACTATAGATACAGGGGCAGGTGTAGGCTATTCAGCCCATTGGGTCTGTTCTGCCATTCAACAAGAATTTTGGTGATCTGATCATTCTCATCTCCGCTTTCCTGCCTTTTCCCCATTACTCTTAATTCCATTACTGATTAAAAGTCTAACTCAGCCTTGAATGTACTTAATGATCCAGCCTCCACAGCCCTCTGTGGTAAAGAATTCCACACATTCACTCTGCTCTGAGGGAGGAAAATCCTCCTCATCTCTGTCTTACTCTCTAGTCCTTGACTCGTCTATAAGGGGAAACAAACTTTCAGCATTTACCTGCCAAGCCCCCTAAGAATCTTATATGTGTCAAAAAGGTCAAGAGGACACACGTACACAGAGGAGGACGTAAACCTAAATACTAGACAAGCAAAAGCCCTTACACATACATAGAGAAAGAGAGTGCAAGATTAGACACGGAGAGACTGAGATAGAATTACTGACCAGAAACTAGACCAAGGGACCCTAACTATCGAGTTAAGGAGATCCAGAAATAGAAGGACACATACACTTTAGTCCCAGTCCATCAAGTCTCCCCTTTGATAAAGATCAAAAGCTTTCTCCCTCACACCATCCACACCCTCATTGCCCCTTACACTGATTTTTGATTTGATTTATTATTGTCACATGTACCTAGGTACAGTGAAAAGTTTTGTTTTGCATGCAGTACAGGCAGATCATCATAGAATAGAAGCCCTACAGTGTGGAAACAGGCCATTTGACCCAACAAATCCACACCAACTCTCTGGAAAGCATTCCACCCAGATGCGAATGCAATCCCCCACCCTATTCCTAAAACCCTGTGTTTCCCCATGGCTAATCCACCCAGTCTACACATCCCTGGACACTATGGGCAATTTAATATGGCCAATCCACCTAACCTGCACATCTTTGGACTGTGGGAGGAAACCAATGCAGACACAGGGAGAACGTGCAAACTCCACACAGTCACCTGAGGCTGGAATTGAACCTGGGTCCCAAGCCCTGTGAGGTAGCAGTGCTAACCTCTGAGCTACCGTGCAACCCAAACCAAATCATAGCATGCAAAGTTCATAGGGTGATAGAACAGGGTGAGAAATACAATGTCATGGCTGCAGAGAAGGTGCACAGAAAGCAAGCTCAGCATTAGATTTGAAATTTGAGAAATTATTATGGACAGCCTCTCTATGAACATGGATAGAAAGTAACTACAAGCCTGTAGAGGGTCAGGAGACCAATGGTGTTCCACAGCCACCGGAAAGTGGGGATATCATGCAGATATGTGAGGAACTCATTGTCCAATTCTTCCAATGAGTTACAGATTTAAACACAAATATTTGTTCATACGAGAGTCCTGCCATCCCAGGAATAAGTCTGGCAAGCCTTTGTTTCACTCACTCCATGGTAATAATACCTTCTCTGAGATAGGGAGACCAAAGCTACATACAATATTCCAGGCATGGGCTAACCAAGCTCCTCTACAATTGAAACACTATACTCGTTCACAAAACCACACACCAAAGTCCTGCTCCCCCTGTTTGACTGGTCCTGTCCAGTTTAAGTATCAGAATGCCAATACAGTGAATATGTTACCTTCTGGAGCCCATTGAGGAGCACCTTACCTTCTGCGTTTCAGTACAAACAAGGCCAAAGGGCATCATGGCCATGTTTAGTGACTTCTGTGGACTTTGATTTAGCCACTTTTGTCAAAAGTTTGGATCTTCAACTAAATCCCTGTGAAAGTAAATTACTCCCTATCTCATAATTTTAAATATACCCTTCATTAATCCAACCAAATGGTACAATATTCCCCTTCACCTGATCAAAAATTTAATGACTTAAACAATTCATATTTATTTCCTTTTTCTTTCCCCTGGAAGTAGTCCTGACATCCATATTTTCCAGCCCTAGCAATTTTTTCTCTGATAAAGCTATGATAAACATGTTCTGTTGCTACAATATCATTTCAGTAATGGAGCATACCAAGTGATGTACACAACTCTATAACTGTGGCATAGCTTACATTTTTAATCAAATGCATCATTGGTTTGTTATTCTCACATTTCATTTTATAAAACCCAACATATTACTTTTTTAACAATTTGTGTGCATTCACAGTTTGAAGGAATTATGTATCTGTACACACTTAGGTGTCCAAAGGAAAGTGTGACCGTCTCCTGTCTTCTGCCTCATACCCCTTCTAACTCTGTTACCCTACCCATCTCCCACCAAACCTCATGGCCTACTGTTCATGCTACTGCATGCAACATCTTTTTTTCAATGATTCTCACCAGACCCATCCCCTAAACTACTAAACCTTCCTGCCTCTGCACTCTCTACTCATTCACTCTGAACAGTTAACACTACCCTTGACTGTGGAAGGAGCAATCCCTAACTCTGTTGTTTCCTGACTGACTTCCCAGTAATTCCCAGACTGGTTGAACCGAAACTGCAGGACTGACCAATCCTTTCGACTGAGATTGGTTGATGACCTTTACTGACCTTGATAGTCCTCCCAGAATGACCATAGTCTCCCTGGACTGGACTATGGATTTCTCCCCTTAGACTTGCAGGCATAGCCATTTGGTTGACACACATGTAATGTCGTTGCTGCATGAACTGCTGGCATAAGCTCTAGATGTGACATTGACATAGCATGGTGGCATACATGAAGGAGAGGTGACGACCTAGTGGTCTTATTGTTAGACCATTATTCCAAAGACCCAGGTAATCTTCTGGGGACCTGGGTTCGAATCCCAGTACGGCAGATGATGGAGTTAAAATTCAATATTAAAAAATCATCTGGAATTAAGAGGCTAATTGTAACCATGAAACAGTGTTGACTGTCTCAATCACTAAAGTCCTTTAGAGAAGGAAACTCTCTTGTCCTTACCTGGTCTGATCTACATGTGACTCCAGACCCACAGGAATGTGGTTGATTCTCATCTGCCCTCTGGGCAATGCTGACTATGCCAGCCACACCCACATCCTATGCATAAAAGAAAGTATCTGACCGCTTCACTGTTCACTGAATGACACTGAGGAAGCAAGCTAAGAGTCCTGAGAGCCCTGGCAATTTGTTCCAGTGCATGTGATGTGGTCCTACCCCTTTGTGCAATGTGGCCTGGTAGCAGTATTTCAATGTAAAGCGCTGGTCAGCTGCAAAGTGCAGGACTGAAGAGCTGAACTAGATTAGAATTTATTCGAAGGTGTCTTGTGAAGATGTGGTCCGGCTAGCGCTTTGCTGATGCCAAGCTCCAGGGACAGAGGTTGCAGGTGGTCGCTGCCTGTTGAGCATGCCCTGAGGTGTTGGGGAATAATACTCAGGAGGGAGATACAGAGAAGATGCTGGTGAACTGCAGGTTGCTGCACCAACTTTCATGTCAGGAATTGGTCCATCAATACCTCATGCTTACACACCTTGAATTGCATCTTCAACCTGTCTACCTATCCCTACCTTCTGGTGCTATATTTGAGTCCTCATCACTTCAACCCCATTTTTCTCCCTGTCTAGGCAGAATTTTGTGGAGGTCTCAGGAATGGAAAGCAAGGTGGGCAAAGGAACTGAATTGTTCAAGAAGACAGAATTCAGAATTTTATTTATTCATGGAATGTGGGCATCAATGACTAAGTCAGGCCATCCCTAATTGCGCAGAGGGCAGTTAAGATAAACCCACATTGCTGTGGGTCTGGAGTGACACGTAGGTAAGGATGGCAGTTTCCTTCCCTAAAGGACATTAGTGAGCCAGAATGGCAGCACTGTGGTTCAGTGGGTGGCACAGTTCAGTGGGCAGCAAGTTGTCTCTGTGGTTAGCACTGCTGCTTCACAGTGCCAGGGACCCAGGTTCAATTTCACCCTCAAGCAACTGTCTGTGTGGAGTTTGCACGTTCTCTCCGTATCTCTGTAGGTTTTGTCTGGGTGCTCCGGTTTCTTCTCACAGTCCAAACAGGTTAGGTGGATTTGCCATGTTAAATTGCACATTGTGTGCAGGTAAGGTGGATTAACCATAGGAAATGCAGCGTTACAAGGAAAGGATAGGGGGTTGGTTCTGGGTGGGATGCTCTTCAGAGGGTCAGTGTGGATTTGAGGGGCTGAATGGCCTGCTTCCACACTGTAGGGATTCTATGATTCTAGGTGGGATTTTACAACAATCAGCACTCACTCCCCTTTGCTATCCTCATTTAAGGAGTTTAACATCAAAGTGATTTTGTTTAAATTCATGATTCAAAATACTTTTGGGGTAAAAAAATTTTGGTTCAGTGAAATCAACAATGTAGGCCTAAACTATGTTCAAGATAACACCAGTTTATTTTAGAAAACCCTGGCATATTACTTGATAATATTGAAAATTGCCTAACGATGTCCTGACTGCAAAAAAACAAGCCCATCCATCCCAACTAGGGACCACTCTTTGGTCTACTCTCAGTTATCAGAAAATAATGGAAGGTATTGTCCATAATTTTGACAAGGGATAATAACCTGCTCATTAATACTCAATGTGGGTTGCACAATAGACACTTCGCTGCAAACCTTCTGACAGCCTTGGTCCAAACATACATCGAAGAGTCAAATTCAAGAGATGTGTTGCGAGTGGCTGCCTTTGGCATTCAGATAGCATTAGAGCAGGTGTGACACCAATAAGCTTTAAAACTGAATTCAAACATCTACATATGGGTTGAAATGGATCAATTTTTACACAGTCCTTCAGAACTCTAGTTCACAAAATTATTAAATATGAAGCATCTTCACAATGCAGCATTCAGGTTTGGGTTGATAAGAGGCAAGTAACTATTGTGTCACACAAGGGTCAAGGCAATAGCCATCTCCAATAAGAGAGAATCTAAGCTTCTTCAATTACATCGAATCCCCGACTAACAAAATCCTCAATGTTACCATTAGCCAGAAACTAGTGGACCAACCATATGGATGTCTTATTTACAACAGCAGGTCATAGGCTGGGAATTCTGAATAATTCATCACCTAATTCCTCAAAGCCTGCCCATCATCTACAGAAACTAAAACAAAAGTTGCCGTAAAAGCTCAGCAGGTCTGGCAGCACCTGTGAAGAGAAATCAGAGCTAACATTTCGGGGCCAGTGATCCTTCCTCAGAACTAATGGTAGTTAGAAAAATGTTGGGTTATTTGCAGAAGGTAGGGTGGTAGGAAGGGGTAAGGAGTAAACAATAGGTGGGGTTAGAGACCAAAGAGAGAGAAGAACAGTTGGACAGACAAAGAAGTAGATAATGATCTGGCTAGGAGGGTGAATAGCTGTTAATGGAGACTGTTAGTGGCTAACAATAGGTAGTGTGTAATGGCAGGCTATGTGATAATAAGGCCTGGTGTGTGGTTTGGGGGCTAGGAAATGGCAGAGTTCAGGCCCTAAAATTATTGAACTCCGTATTGAGTCTGGAGGGCTGCAGAGTCCCCAAACGGAAAATGAAGTGTTGTTCTTCCAGTTTGCGCTGAGCTTCACTGGAACAGTGCAGCAAGCCAGAGACAGAGATGTCAGCCATCTACAGAGCTCAATTCAATAGTGCAGTAAAATACTGTCCACTTGACGAGATGGGTGCAGCTCCAATAACATGCTAGAAGCTCAACACCATCCAGGTCAAATCAATCTGCTTGATTGGCACCCCATTGATCTACCACCTTCAACATTCACCCCCTTCACCACTAATGTATTGTGGAAGTCTGTACCACAGACAAGATGTACAGCAGTTACTAAGCAGACCACTAAGGGTCCTCAAACAGCACCAACTAAACCCACAACCTCTAACGTCTTGAAAGACAAGGGCACCAGATGCATTGGAATATCCCCACGACCAAGTACCCCTGCAAGCCACACACTATCCTGACTTAGAACTATATTGCCATTCCTTTATCATCACTCAGTCCAAATCCAGTAAATCCCTTCCAAATATCAAATTAGGGTAAGGAAAGGAGAAGTCAGTCAGATGCTCTCTTTATACGTTGTTATATATTGTCTCATGGGTGTCATTAATTAGAATACTTATACTTTCAAACTGACGTAATTAGAGACTACTGGTTTCAAAATTTAACTTGTGCTAATTTTTAAAAAATGATCTTGACTTCAAAGCAAAATAAATCCCACAAACCTTTAGGCCAACATTGAACCTATCAGGTCAAGCTGAGCAGAATTCTTAGGCCATTCAACTAATGTTCCCCAAGCATAATTAAAGTTTTCTGATTTTATTGATAGAAATTATTTAATTATGCTGATGTTATAGATTGGTTGTCTCAAACCTGACTGATAAGCCTGCAGTCTATCCACAAGAATTAATTAGCTGAGTATGGTTTCCCAAAAGTGCTACTATACAGTTGAATGATATAAAAAAAATGTAGCTCTAAATCCAAAATAGCCATACGCAAAGCAGATCTTTCTGTGATCATTTTTATAAACATGCTCATCATTTACAGTGTACATGTACAGTTGAAGCATTCAAGAGGGCATTGGATGATCATTTGGAGAGGAAATATTTTGCTACGGTATGGGTAGAAAGCAACACTGGATGATGATGGTGACTGTTGAAGAGCTGGCACTGGCGCTGTGGGTGGAATGGCCTGATTATGCACCATAACAATTCTGTGATTCTGAGTTACAACATACATTAGATTTTAGGAAAAGCATTGGAGTAGATTAATTTATGTTTCTCATCTGTCTAAGGCTTTGCAAACGTACCATAGTGATCCTTCAATGCGACGACTTCTGAAACAAATGTATTTCTACATCATGCCTGTGTTCAATGTAGATGGATACCATTATAGCTGGACAACTGTAAGTGAATCATGTTTAAAGCAAAGGCCAATTCTAATTCTAGATTTTGTTTCTGAACTTTTTAAGTAAAAAGCTTGAACTCATGCAGATCTATAGCTTAATTTATTAACAAAAGAGTTTGAAGAAAAGGGAATCTTTTATTTTTAATCATATATAACAAAAATCAAGCAGTGAAGGAAGTATAACATGATGACATTCCTCTATATAGTCCACTGACCTATTGTTTTATCTGTCATTACAATAAAGTTGGAGAAGTTCTTCAGAAAATTCAACTCTTATTGTATTTTGAAACATGAACAATTTTTGCATCATGTTTAGGATCGTTTCTGGAGAAAGACACGTTCCAACAGTACCAACTTCAATTGCCACGGAGTTGATGCCAATCGTAATTGGAAGGTCAAATGGTCTGGTAAGTTCAAATGTGGGCTACCATTCATCTAACTTCTGTCTTTTTAATAAAAGTTTTGAGAAAAGAATTGTACTATTTGGTATGACATACTAATTCGGGCAGGTGTAGATCATTGGTCTATTTGATCTACTTGCACATTTCCCACAGAATATCCAGATCTTTTTGTTTAGGGATTATATGTGCTAAAAGTAAGGTCACCATAGTCCTATTGCACCATGTGGCTGCTCTGTCATTAGAGAAAGAGAGATGACTGGTGGTGACCTGACCTGGGGGTCACAACACCTCAAGCAAGGGAAGAGGTTGAGAAAGTGAGTCCTTCACGGTAGCCTCAGGAGTGGGAATGAACTCACAGTGTTGGCATCACTCTGCATTGCAAACCAGCTACCCAGCCAACTAAACTAACTGACCCTCCCAGGGATTATATAAGAAAGACAACACAGAAACTGACCATTTGACCCAAACTGTCCCAAGCCCATGTTTATGTTCCACTTGAACTCCTCCCATCTTTCATCATCTCTGTCATTAATGCTGCCTGTTCCTTCTCCTTCATTCACTTGTCTACTTTCCCTTTAAATGCATCCATATTGTTAGCTTCAATTATTCACAAGTTCCAAAATCTTACAACAACTTGGAAAAATAAGTTTCTTGTGTGTCTCCACTTGGATTTCTTGCTGACAGTCTCTAGTTATGCTCTTCCCCACATAAAGAAACATTTTCTCTGTGAATCGTTTAAAATGTTAAATGTCTGTTTTTGCTAGGTCCTTTCGTTATGTCAGCAACACAATAATTTTTCTGCCAATACTTTTATTTCACTATGAATGTGGATGACACTATGATAATGATCAATTAAAAATTATTTTTTGTATGTGATGTTGATTGAGGTATAAATGTTGGACAGGACACTGGAGATATCTCCACAGTTCTTCTCGAAATAAAGCCACGGGCTCTTTTACATACAATACATTAATACAATACAAAACAATATAAACAGCACAGGAACAGGCCCTTTGGTCCACCAAGCCTGTGCCAATTCCTACGTCTTATTTAGACCTGCTACTTATTGCCCACATGCAGTAATTATCCCTCTATTTGCCTCCCATTCATGTGTCGAACAAGATATGCCTTAAACATTGCTAATGTGACTGCTTCCACTACCTGCACTGGCAATATGTTCCAGGCACCCACCACCCTCTGTATGAAAAACTTTTCCTGCATTTCTCCCTCAAACTTTCCCCCTCTCACCTTGAACTTGTGCCCTCCTGTGGGTGACCTTGCCACCCTGGGAAAAAGCCTCTGACTATCCACCCTAACTATGCCTCTCAGAATTTTGTAGACCTCTATCAGGTCACCCCTCTGCCTTTGTCTTTCCAGTGAAAACAATCCCAGTTTATCCAACCTGTCCTCTTAATGAAAACCCTCCACACAACATCCTACTGGAACAGAGATACCACAGTGTGGAGCTGGAGGAACACAGCAGGACAGGCAGCATCAGAGGAGCAGGAAAGTTAA